CAGCTGAGGGCTTTCACACATTTTCCCCTTTCTCTTTCTGTGTGCCACCAGCCGAGGTTACAACCATACACCCCAATCAGGCGTCCCATGATTCTGTCCAGCGCTCTCTATGTTGTTTGGTAACTGTTCGGTTACGCTTGTATTTCTGTCGATGCATTGTTGTGTCCAGGAATTGTGCAGAATCTGACCTCCGTACCGAAACATCTCTTCACTCTCTCAATAAAGGCAGTATTTTCCGGAACTACGTTGCCAAGGCAACAGGGCAGATGACTTGGATCTGCTAAATGCTCTGACTTGAACTGACCAATTGTGCTATAGGGAATGCAAAAGCAAAACAATGTGTTGATGCTAACTGGAAGTGCTTGATGTAATATTGCATGTGATAGTTTGATACTGTAACATGAGGTAAAGAAGTTATTATACAAGGGCTAAGACAGCCATATCCACATATTTTCAAATACAAAAGCGCAACATATTTACACATACCAATCAGTAGAGTGAGAGGTATTTAACATTGCCTGTGTCAATATTTGGTTATTTTCCAGAAACTGTATAAACAGATTCCACATTTTATGGTAGTCCTTTAGTTTGCGCTTTATACTGTAGGCTATTCTTTCCAATGCAATATAATGTGCCAGATCCTTCAACCAATGATCAATGGATAGACCTTCTATGTTCTTCCAGTAAAATGCTACTAAACGTCTTGCAAGAACTGGACAAATTTAAATAATTTTAGCATGATAACCTGATAATGATAAACTTACAGGAAATAAGCCCAAAGTACATATTTCAGAGGTCACTGATTTTGGTTTTGAGATAATTGAGGAAATTAGTGTTGTCAGGGGTGACATAAGTATGCATTACCCAGTTGTATTGGATCAGCTTAAATCTAGTATTAATTGACAAATTCTGGACTTTAACACATATCTGGCTCCATTCTATATCTGAAAGGTCATATTGCAAATCTACACCCCAAGCAACCCTTATTCTTTAGAGCAGTGGTCTTCACTATTTTTTTCATGGGAGCCGCACTGATAGGGCAAAGCCAATCAGAGAGCCTCTTTTACCGCAAAGTATCAAAAGTTACATCCAGTCATAAATAGCATGTCTTTTTATCAATCTGTTATATGCAATGCAATGCAATACAAAAGGGGCTATCATTCTTTATCATTTACCAGTCAAATTTGTAACTGAGACAAGATTATAAAAAAAAAAAAAAGCAGGATTACCTTAATGCTGGAAAGACCTCAAGTTATTTTATTTTTTTATACTAGCCCATCATGTATCTAACCATCCAAGTGCACATTCGGCGTTAACTGAATCTTCTTATTCTCAATTCATGTCTGAAACAGAAACCAGTGCAGGATGAGGTCACAGTAATTCATGTGTTCAAATCCTATCTTCACTGAGCAACAGTGATGCTTGGCTCAGCAAACACCACTCATACAATTTTCAGAGATGTGAGAGAGATATTTCATACAGCTCTTTCCCAAATTCTGCCCATTCTTTGATCTCACGTTGGGTTTAATTGATGATGTCTTGAGCAGTCTTCTCCACTGATGCAAGTATGAACTCATCTAACCCAACGTGCGGTTCTTCCTTTATAGATCAAAGACTCTTTCAGAACCATGTGTCAGTGAGGCTAATTGTGACAAACAAAGATTCAACTGCAGCAAATAAACTAACACAAATCCAGGTCTGAACCATTAGCCAAAAGTTAATAACTAGACCTCCCTAAACCCATTCAGAGTTATTTTCTTCTCATTGGTCTGTGGAACTCATTGGTACTTTTTCTTCACTTTCTTGCCTTTCAGGACAAAAACTACAACATTTTTGGAATTAAAAGAAGAAACATATAACCAATAATATGTAGAATGCATAAGTTAAATAGATTATTGTATTCACAGATCGATTTTGTTTAAAATCATTTTGCAGTAAATGCAAAAAATATGTTGCCATATGCAAATTCGGTAGCACAATGGAATGGAAGTAATGCATTTCCTCAATGGAAATTTTCATCAATAATGGAATTAACTACAGTATATTCTAAGAGCTATATATTTATTTGGAAGTGTTTAATGTAATGTATTTGTACATAAAGCATGATTTATGCTTCCTGCATGAACAACTACCAGAAAGAAGTGCAAAACTGACTTTAACAGTGAAGATTACCTGTGACTTTAAAAACAATTAAAAAACAAAAAATCCTGATTCAAGTGTGTGAATATATGGATTCAGAAAATAAGCATTTAGTTGGAGGGAAAAGTAGTAGTTCTTATTAACTTGTATGACCAATTTCCATTGTGGTACTGAGTTGTGGCAACCTTGTTTGTTTTGTTTTGTTTTAGTTTGGTTTGGTTTCGTATTAAGACTAACTTTATGTCAAAAAGGTATGGAAAAATATTAGAGAATTACAATATAATACATACCATAGAGGGGAAAATTTGTGAACAAAGCCTGATGGGTACACAGTGTAGCATCTGGACCAATCAGACACACAATGTCTGTATCTCTATGTATTTTGTTAGCTATATTTAACAAATACTCTGTAACACCCCTCAGTTAACAAGCCATATGAGGACCTATGGACCCTTCCCCCGAAATACGTCTTAACACCTCAGAAAGACACCAGGCCCCTGGTCACCATGGCAATTAATGCTGATATCACTGGTTTTATTGCCCAAAGGAATGTGGGTAGAAGAAATCACTACCTTTTCCATAGGAAGAGACACAATGCACAGTAAAAATGGACTCTTCTCTAATTAATGAATAGGAAAACCTTTCTTTGAATGAACACACATATCCTTCAGGTTATTGTGTATGTTGTCGTTTTATTGTATACTGTTTATGCAGGCTTGTGATGGAACCACTCGTTTCTGTCATCTTACTTATATGTAATTCTACCATGTTTAGTATCTATGAATTCGCCTTCTGATGATCTAAACGAGCGTGTATATTATATGTTGGTACATAGGCAAT